AGTGCATAGCGGTGCTTTCTGCCTAAGACAGAGAGCTAGGGATCCGATTTCAGTAGCCTTCTTCGATCGAGTCACTTTATTTTCTGATTTTAACAATTTATTTGAGTTACTGGACCAGGTTTTGCTCCCAATAGCAGTAGTGCCTTTTATATATTGGAATTATGCTCAAAAAACATTTTAAAAACGCTCACTGCGAATTTTATGAACAATTTTCATGTTGGAAACGTATGTTTCCCATACAAAGCCTTGCAGTAGAATGCGAAGTTTGTCTGAGTCACGCGGGTGGTCTAAGGTGACAAAACCTATTTTTAGTAATAGTAGAAAGCGCTATTATTATTGCGGGCCACGTGTACTGTGATTTCGAATCGATTTGTGACGGCTTCCGGTTTCCTTCTAGGGACAGACTTTTCTAAGAAAGTGAAAATATCGATTTTCTTGGAAGTAGCTTATTCTTTTGCTTTCGTATGGTTATTCACTGAGTTTTAAGCTATCGAACTAGAGGCTAAAAAGGACAATGGTGATTGATCAACGCGGGCTGTTAGACTTGCTAGTCTTGTTTATTGGGCAAGAACTTTTAACAGGTAAGTCCTTGTGCTTAAAGCATCTTTCGTTTTCTGTAGCTTAGTTAAGCGAACAATATAATTTTTAAAAACGCGATGATCCACTGATACCTCAGCTTCAAGGAGGAAGCAGTTCCGTCAGCTGGCTTCGGTGCCGTGTCTTTGTAATATATATATATATAGTAAACTGGAAAATAGTAAACTGGAACTAATTAATTATACAACGAGGCACAGAAAGCTTATTTGGCGCGACTTCTTGCCTTACTCAATATTATTCAAACAAAGGCACTGTTTAGTATGCATCCTGTACATCAGATCCTATGGGAAAGGTGAAGCCAACCAATCAAACACGGAAACAGCCCTTCAGAGCATCAGTTGTTTGTAACAGTACTTCTCCCATGAGGCAGTCCGTAAGGAACGTAAGGCTAAATGCACTTTGCTTGAAGAGCATCCATTCAAAATAACAAAAGTGTATGGGGGAAAATAGTTTTCTTTTTTTTCCTTTTCTACCTTCAAAACTAATTTCTGAACGTATTTAAGCCGGTAAACATACATGCTCAGGAAATACTAAGTACGTTGAGGTTCATTGTTTTGTCTGAATTTTAAGTGTGTAATAAATAATCCGATTCACCCACTTACTGTCGCAACGGCGTTGCATCGCATTTAAGATAAATTTACTAATTTAAATTATTTTACTTGGCCGTGCAGAATTACGAAGAAAGAGCAACTGCAAAGTGAAGGTCCCTGACTTCCTAGACACTGACAATCGTCTTGAAAATTTATATGTACATAAAACAGAATTATAATTAATATTGTACAAACTTAATCATATTGCCAAAAAAGGAATCGGACACAAGGTAAAGGAAGTTCTCAGTAACTAAACAGGCGCCCTTTTCAGGAATGAGGGCTGACACATGAAACGAAACGAAGGGAAACGATGAACATTAGCATAAACAGCGATATTTAGACTCGCCTTCTGTCTTCCTGCCTCTCCAAGAATACGCCCTGTAATGAAAGCCGCACTTTGTCACTCAACCAACACAACGCACCGGACAGTGACGAACGGATTCGTACTCACAATGCTCTGTTGATGGCTTATAGCTCATGATAATTAAGATGGGGCATTTGCCATCTTCACTGCATCCTCGCTGTTTATACACATGCCGGCAGCGGGATGAACGGACAATTCCACTAACACAACGAACCAGTATAAGATATACTTCCGAATCTCATGTAAGCCTCTGGCTTTGGCATATCATTGTATCTCTTATTTTGTGCTGTTTTAATAAATACAATCTAAGGCGATCGAACGTTTTAGGCTGAATCAGTAAAGAAGATGTCATTCAGTTCTAGAAAATGCTGTAAGTGAAACAGAATGAAGCTGAGATGGATTGTCTTGATTAGCGTTCGACAGAAGGTCCTAGATAAGGGACAACAGATGACATTCCAGTACGACATTCTGCTTGAAACCTAGCACATCATATTGAATGTCTGATGGTCACCCTTCAGGGACACTTACGTCTACTTTTAAGGGTTTCCACCAAACCTCATGACTTTCTTCAGGTTCAGAAATATTTTCTTGTTCCCAAGAAATACATGTGCATCTTTTGTACAGGGAAATGCTTGACTGTATGTGTGACGCTTGTGTCTGTGTCGGAAGTGAAAGAAGAGCTGTCAAAGTAGGGTGACGTCATGACACTAAAAATGTTAAATGGTTCCGTGTTTATAGTTTAAGAGAGTGTTATAGCCTCTCCTAATAAAATATCCTCTTTCCCTAAAATCAGTTCCATGCCACGTCCTTGAGACGTTGATGGGTAAATAAGTTTATTTATTAACACGAGGTAGGTTTTACAGCGGGCATTCTCTTTCTTTCCCTTTAGCCGGAGGCTTGAACCAGTCAAACGTCACGCTGATTGTTTGTCCCCTCTCTTTTGATTTCGGTTGAACATTGCTTGTACATGCATATTTCACGTGGAGCGAGCAGCTGTAAAAATAATGTGTCGTGGACCAATAAGATTTGAATTAGAGGGTGTTCGCTCACAAGACCAGTGACCATATTGGTTTAAGTGTTGAAAAAAAAAAAACGGATTTTGCATAAACGGAATAGAGTTTAGTTCACGGAAGACTGGTTTACTCCCTCAACATGGCCACTCGTTGTTTTTTTCTTCCAACATGGCCGCCGTGACATCAAGTGTACACACTATAACAGGAGTCAACCACAGCTCACCACCAACGTTAATATGACTCGGTTTACATACCGTCAAAATACAACAATGGCACAAAACTCTTACTTCTGAAATGAAACAGCGAAATCTGAAGAAACTCAGTAATTATGCAAACGACTGCAACGTTTTATAATTACTTCAACTCCAGTAGTTCTGACTTGAATAGATCTAAATGATAAGTATCGTTCAGTAAAATAACAGACACAGCAGGGTCAATGTTTTGTCTAAAGCCGTTACACTAAGTTACAAAGGAAGTCGGGTGGTGGTGGGGGGAGGGGGGAGGGGGGAGGGGGGGGGGGCGGGGGGAGGTGGACAGGGAATTCGTCTTCCTGATTAGGCGGTTATAACACTTCGCACCCAACAGCCGTGAAAAAAGGTCAACACTAAAAAGCACTTTATTCCTGTAAAGTGAGATTAACAATACTCTATATTTAGTTCTTTATTTTCATGTTGAGTGACACAACCAATAAGAATAGATGTGGACGTAAGAATAACAATGCACAGCTGCACATGAATATTATGTGTTGAATCGAGCGATAAACATATATGGTGGGGGGGGGGGTGGGGGTGGGGGGGGGGGGGGAAGGGGGAGTGGGGGGGGGGTGAGGGGTTAGGTGCACATGGAATTCGTCTTCCTGATTAGGCGGTTATAACACTTCGCACCCAACAGACGTGAAAGAAGGTCAACACTAAACAGCACTTTATTCCTGTAAAGTGAGATTAACAATACTCTATATTTAGTTCTTTATCTTCATGTTTAGTGACACAACCAAGACAAACCGGATTTGCACCGGTCATAAATCACCCAACAAGAATTATACTGATATTCACTAAGTGTGTTTTTGGGTGGAGAGGGGGGAGGGGGTGGGGCGGAGGTGCGGATGGAGAGGAGTTACCCCTTTCCCTCCATCGCCCCCTCCCAAACGTTTGGGCAGTATCTTTAGCTTTTGAGAGGCGAAGGTCATTAGCAGCTATAGTATAGCATATCATCTTTAGCTTCGGGTGCAACAAAAGTTTTAATGCAAATTCCGTTTCTATTACACGTTACAGTGCATGCTCAAGTCTCCATCACGGCGAGGCAATCGATCGCAAGGGTTAAAGAAGGGTCAAGCTTCACCTTTATATGGGACTATCAGCTTGGTTCGATTGAAAATTTACGAGACATTGTCTTCGGTGTTTGGGAAAAAGGCTACACAAGTACATATTTTATGACAGTAACTCGAAATAAAGGAGCGGTTCAAAACCCTGACCTGGCGAAAACTCATCCAGACCTCATTGGGCGCATACGTTGGGCAGGAGACATTTCCAGATATGCTGCTTTTACCTTGAGCAACATAATGCTATCCGATAACAAGACATATGGATGTCAACTTGGTATTGGTGGGTTTGGACAAACCAAAGATTCTAAGATAACGTTAATCGTTGAGGTAAGAGTTGGATCACTATTGAATTGTTTAGAGAACGCCAATGACGTAATATTCCGTATTGCAAATTGCAATGAAAATTGTATCCGTCAGTTTGGGGGAAGGGGGGTGGGGATGAGGTTGGGAGGGGGGGACTGAGATTGTTCCGTCCGTGGTATCATCTTCAAATGGTATTGGTAATGGCGAAGATCCATGTCAGAGCGGCTTTATGAACTGAGTGTCGAATGTAATCCGCGTTTGCTTTGGTTTTGCTTTATATCGATCTGTTATTGGTTGAGATAACTCGCGCCACTTTTTCAGTAATGAGAGGCACGCGCGCGTTTTCCCGCGCTTGGCTCATTGCGCTGCTTGCGTCTCCTGTGGTTTGTCAGAGAAATCCCTCCGGTTTTGGTTTCACGACACTAGTTTGAAAAGCACTTTACCAGGTAAAAGTTAACATTTCGAACCAGTCTGAGCTATTCTGTTAAGCACCATTAGTTATGCAGTGTTTGTTAGATCCAAAAATTGATTCGTAGCGGACGTAGCGGAAAAGGTAGGTCATATTACCTCAATATTTTGTAAACACATTCAGTCCAGGGGCATATTGTTCTGTTTTACAACAATCGAATTTTCAGACCAATTCCATTTGATCATAAAACTGTATCCACTGGATAAAACAACGGTATAACGGATTTTCAGACCAAATCCACAGATCCCCCATTGATTGAAAAGTATTTCTTTCTCGCCACGATAATGAATTCAGAGGAGGACTTCTTAGTCCCGTAAACGAGCAATTCCTTAGTGAAACCGTGCCATCACGTTTGTTTACCACTCAAAATGAAAACAAATCAATAAACATTTTTTGTTTCATCATATCGTTTTTGTATCGCTTTATGTGAATCGCGTCGTTTCCACCGCTCGCTTCACGTCTTCATAAGGCAGTTGTGTCGACCTCCTTCAAAGCCGAGGCTGTAGATACCACCTTGGCTTTTTGTGATTGGTGTATTGAGACTTTGCGACGGGTGTTAGTCAGTGAAGGAAAACATTGGTGTGATCTCCATTGTTTGGACCCGAAGCTGCTCCCTCAAGAGACTGCCGTGGCACCGACCGGGTACTGAGCAGTGTATCAGGGTGAAGTCTTCACATCGGTGGATGGCCTTCACTCGTTAACTGTATTATGGCAGGTCCAATAGGAAGCGGTTGTAACATCGCGATCCACTCTCGTCAAAGTACTGTAAAAACTCATTTATGTGTCTTGTTAGAGGTCTTCGTGTGTAGTATCGCAGTGTGTTTTATACGAGCTGTACTGCATTTCGAAATGCTAAGCCAGCGAGGCCGGCGAATCAAAATACAAACAACGAGTGAATCATGAAGAGATACCTTACACCGAAGCAGCTAACAAGAGATTTATCGTCCAACTTATGATTAGCAACAAAGAAAACTACGAAAAAGAGTAAAATGAGGCGAGCGCGTACGCATTGGTTAACTTTTTTTACGGTGCTAATAAACTACCAACTAGATTTTTACCATACAAATAAGCGTATTACTGCTACGCCCCAGTCATACTCGTTTCGCACGTTATTTTTAACAATACTAAGAGGAGTTGGATAATAAATCGTGATACATAATTGTAAAAGCCACCATTTGAAGCCAATGAATAACGCGGTTGTTCATGTATATTTTCTGATTCACAGAAAGCCGTCCTATCCAAATTTCTTCTCGTTCCTGAAGTCAAGGTTGCTTTAGAGGGCCAAGAAATCGTACTCAGATGGGAATTCCGTCTCACTGACGTTGATAACGAAGACATTGAAACCGTGCAATTGAGTCGAAAGTCAACGCAAGCGTCTCAGCCCCTAGTACTTTGGAAGGTTGAGAAAAATGTTGAAAAAACAATCGCAGAGTATACCAATCGTCTATCAGTGAAAAGCAGAAATAAGGGAGACGATAATCTAATCTGCAGTTACACGTTCAAACTTTCGAACGTTACCTTCAAAGACGAAGGGGAATATCAGTTGAAAGTTGAGTTTGCACACGAAAAGCGTCCCCTGAAAAGTGAAGTCTCCCTTGATGTTTACGGTATATCACAAAAACTCTTCATGTGTTGTTTATCTTTTCAAATTAGTAGGGTACTTGCCAGAGGTTTTCATTATCAGTACTTTCAATTACAGGTCTTGCATCTTTCCTTTGAACCTGCGTGTGCCTGGTGTGAGAACTAAGCATGCAAATGACACCAGTGTTTCTTTTTTCTTCTGCGCGACAGAAACTAAATCTCGAATTTTTCGCAAAAGAGGAAGTTCATTGTTGAAATAGTACACGCATACCACAGAACTGACGAACAGACTTTGAAGATGTTATTTGTTTAGATTGAACCACCGATAAAATGAATTTGAACTAGACCAGGAGCTCCTGACTAGAAACAATGCTGACACAATGGACAACCGTGCACGCAACTTAAAACATTGCTTTTCTAGAAAATTGAAGCGAACTTCAATCAATTATGAAAATCAAGTAAAATGGTAATTCATGATGACGTCGATGATGACGATAGCACTGAAGAGTTGAGGAGAACCCTCGGACCCTGGTCACATACTAAAAGAACGAATGAACATCGCTATCAGTTTTCCGCGCATTGTTTGGCGCCCAAATGGCACGTGACTGTATTAACCCACTGTTTCGATATCGACTTTCTATTTAAGCTAAACTCGAACTTCGATTAACAAAAAAACATAGACGTTATGTGAATCAGTCCGTCAGTCGCTCAACTGGCTGATTTGTTGTTGGAAAAACTTTTTGTATTGACAGGGCGTCCGAAGATAACTGGATACGAGAACGAGAAAGGAATTTACAAAGAAGGGGAAATGCTCCTTCTCGCTTGTGACGACGTTGAAGGAAAACCAAGCAAATTGAGATGGATGAGGGATGGAAATGTTATTCCACACAAGACGCAAGGCTATTTTTTGAAAGTCAAGAAACTGTCCAGATCGGACGAAGGGGCTTATGTATGTTGCGCAGAATATCCACTTGGTAATGTCAGCAGTTTAGAAGTTCGCATAAAAGTACAGTGTGAGTATCTTTTCTCGCTATTATAATCAATCTGAATGATAAGAATCGCTAATCACTGTTAAGTATGGTCATGAATCAAAGCAATTTGAACTTTAAAATGGCATGGTAGATCTAAAGAAGAGATTAACTATTCGGGCTGTACGATAATTTAATTAAGGTGCTGAATGACTGGCAATTAGTCTACCGTTTTAGGTTGGGATTTTGTAAGGTAAAGACTAGGTTTACACATGCCCAAGCTTATCTCGTTTTCTTTGAAATGAACAGGCCCGGTTTTGGCAAAGGCTCACCAGTTACTTAAGTTAGAATGGCTCATGCCATATGGTAGTATTTTTTACCCCCACGGGAGTAAGAGCAGCTTTTGCCCAAAACTTACAGCATTCTATTTAAAAAAGATTATCTAATAACCCATTGTAACCAGTACGTGCACTCCTTTCCCTGCCAAGTGGTACATAGGGGCTCCCAAGGGGTTTTTTTCCCTAGGAGGTTTCTGTGACCCAACAGCCGCTCTTGGGGTCAGGTAGTCAGTCCATCGCCCAGCCTCCACCCAACCCTGATTTTGTAAACGCAGATCACAGCACCAGGAACTACGCTCCCTAGTCTGTTCGATCGGTGTGTGGGTTCTTTTACGTCTCCCTCCGGTTTTAAGTGTGGAGGTAAATGAGACAAGGCCAACGGCTTCACCTCACTGCCCAAAGTAATTGTAACCAGTAATTTTCAAGGTCTGCCGTTAGCTATTGTTAACTTTGTTCTTCTCTTATTGCAGATGCTCCTTCTATCTACTTTCCCTCGGATACACAGACCGTGCTATCGTGGAAAGGGCATCCAACCACACTGAACTGCTCCGCGGAGGGGTTTCCTCCCGCAATGTTTTCATGGACACGCGCTGATGAGAAAAGGCTTTATGGTGAAACAGCTGATAATACTGGCATTTTAACTATAACTCCGTCGCTGGATTTTCATTTTACAAACTACACTTGCATAGCTCGCAATACAATTGGTGAAGACAGAAGAATGTTCATTCTAAAACCAATACGTAAGTATGCCTCCTTTACTATTTTTGATGTAACAAAAAACATTACACGAGAAACATACAATAAAATTTGTGCTGCAAACTTCAAATTGATAAGGACGGTGATAACAAGCATTTAACAAGCATTTTCAACATTTTCCTGTTGATCGGGTGATTTCCGAGATCAAAACTACCGACTCTCCATTTTTCATTTTTGAGTTTATAAATAAGTAAGACCTTTATTTACCCTCGGCAGTTTATTTAGCACAAAGGCTAGTGGGGCCGAGCAAATACATGACACAAATAATTCAAATAAACGTAACATGATAAGAATTCCAATTGGCGGGAGGCAAGACGATTGGCTATTTACAAGGATGAGTTGAACCAGGCACTTACCCAGAACAACACCAGCTAGTAGTCAGAGCGGGATTTGAACACGGGTAACCGTATTGAAATCCAGCGCCCTTAAGACCACTCGGCCATCCTGCATTCTCCTTGCCCAGACTGTTTCCAATAATACCCTCAGCGAGAGATCCCCTGTTAGACATCAGATCATATGACCTTAAAATACTTCGATCACTGTGAGAATGATTAGCTTGCCACTCTTTGTAGTGGAAAAATGAACGGCGCTAAAGATTTCCGTAATTATTAATGCGAAAGCACGTACAAACTATAGCTTTCTGTTGGATAACATGCTGTTTGCTCTTTACGATAATTTTTCATGATTATTATATGCATGACTACGAAACGTACAAACGTTTCCGCATACTTTTGTCTGCAGGTCCACCAACCCCCCCAGTAATCACAAATGTTCGAGTTAATCACAACGCCCTTAAAGTTACGTGGAAACTGCCGTCCTCTAAACAAAACACGCCGATCACCGGGCACGTTATGCGCATAAGGAAAGAATCTGCAGGGCCAAACATATGGAATGAAATACACTTTAGCAAACAAAGTAATTATTTTATTGTAAGAAACCTGACTGCGAGAACCAATTACAGTTTGTGGCTGTTCGCAACTAACGTAGCTGGACGAAGCAATGCTTCAGCGGTAAAGCATGTGAAAACGCTCCAGAAGGGTAAGCATTGTGTGATCCTTTGTGCCAACAAAGCTTGCTAGTTATTGAAAAAATGAGTTGGTTTTGTTACCGTGGTTATGAGTGATGTCTTTGACAAGAACGGGCCTGTTTTGGTTTTTCCATAAGGGACTGTTCATTTATATGGAATGGGGAGGGGGGAGGGGGGAGGGGGGAGGGGGGGGGGGTGATTTCCAAATTGTATGAACCCCCCCCCCACGCTTACCAGTTTTAGTCACGTAACACCCCTTAAAAGAATTTTTGGGAATGATCTCCCTCCAAAATAAGTTAACCAAGCTATTTATCTACCCTATTATCTCAGAATTTCGCTCAAGCCCTCCGCCCCCTTTCCTTTCATGTTTTTTTGGCCAGCCCCCATCAAATGTAATTTTTTTAGGCGTGCCCCTTCCCCCACATCCCACCAGCCGTCCCTGATCCATAAAGCTCAAAACACCAGTCCAAAGAAATATTTCAGAGAATTTAGTCTTATTTGATTTGATGTGACAGTTAGCAACAGATATAGTAAATGCAATTAAAAAAAGCATTGGCCAGAACAGTGGGCCATATATTTTCATTTACCATTCACTGTACACTCTTAAAGCCGGTTACACACGATTGTAATCATAATGGCGCTCGTAAGGTCTGAGTATAGGCTCGCGAACATTGTTGACCAACAATATCCAACAATTGTTGGGACAACAGGCTGTGTGCATTTGAACAGTGTCTTGCTGGCAGTTTACACAACAAAATCCAACGACTCGCGGTAACTTCCATCAAGATATTGACACGCACCCATCGAGTTAAACCCAACAATGACGGATATTTTCGGCCAACAACGTCGTGAGCGTTTGCACGGGACCTGAGAACAACAACTAAACGGAACGTTTGTTTCTCTTTGCTATGCAGGGTTCCCAGGTTCACCAAGTCTTCACTTTGAAAATGTCAAAATTAATCATAGTTTTTACAACGTCACATGGGATTACCCCCGGGACGTCGGCGGAGATGACGTAACTTTGTTTACCTTGTGGTACCGTGAAATTGCGACAAACAACAGCACTCAAGGGAAATGGCGAAACCTCAATACAACAAAAACCCGATTTCATCTAAATCTTAACTGCTGTTTAACTTATGAAGTTACAGTGACAGCTTGGAATAGATACGGTCACAGCTTTTTTGACCCTAACAACGAAGCAAGAATCACCGTTTTAAGAGGTATGCCCTTTTTCAAACTTTTTTTTTTGGTCACCGCTTAAGTAGCACAGCTGTTTATCTAAGAAAACCTGAATAATCGCTTTCTTTTAAAGAAAAGATACAGTTTTAGTATATGTTATGAAGGAAATTGTCAATTTAATTGTTATGAGTACAAGTGCCGTTGAGCGTAATGGGTTGGGGAGAGGGGGGGCTGCTATGACTCATTTCTAACACTTTCACTTTCCCTGTTTTGTAAGAATTTTACTGATATTATGAAGTGAATCTTGATTCACTCAACAGATCTCCCAACTAATACGACCGTGACGAGCACTGGTTCAGAGGATTCTTGTGACACTTGTATTGCTAAAAGTATGTACATTATTACAGAAAGTACATGTAGTTAGCATTTATAGCTACGTTTTAAGGCCTTTCACATGGTCACACGGCCTTCTATGATTTATGGGCATCTATGCAGTAGTATTTTTACTTTCAAATTAAATAGTATGTAAAATCTAAGAGCTCTAAAAGAAGGATGCTTGAAAAATCTTCACAGTGGTAAAACATATGCGCTACGCGTGAGCATCTTGATTACAACTTATCTCAGGGGACAAACTGCTCAAACGAATTCAAGCCACTTACTTATGGTGCACCTTGGGAAGCTATTGTAGATGAATATTTAATAATAAACTCGTTTCACACTCCGCTGTCAGGAAGTAAAATATATGTGTGCCCTTACTTCAGAACTGGCATTTCTTGGCAAACAATCCCAAAATTAGCAAACTGAAGACATATTGGTTTGCCATATAGTCAAATGAAATCCCAGCCGTAGTTTCTCATCAAGGCTATTCGTTTTGACATATGCTTTGTACAAAATAAGTTCTTTCCTTTTGTTCACATTTAGAAAGCACCAAAAACAGGAATTCAGAGAGGAGACCAGTTTTAAAGTTTTTACAATACACTGCTATCCTGCTGATACCACTCATAGTTGTGCTAACAAGGCTGTTAGTCAGGAGCTTACGGACCTGCAAGATAAAGCCGATTCACGGTATGTAAATTAATGTTTTCTTTTCAAGAATGGAACGAAAAACAAAATGTGCCTGTGTGAAGACCTTAATTCCCAATAGCCTCACCATGCACCACGACAGGATGCAAAGGATACTGAGCAATTTGCACCTCCATGCATGATGCAAACATGTTTATAAGATCTAAATCGCCGCACGATTGACTGCAAGGGTTGATTTTCAATATTTGCCAAACTGCAATTGAAATTATCCAGCTGGCGACATCTTGTTTATATTCGCCAGTGTTTATATATGGATGGATAAAACGTACTCAACTATATGTCCTTTCAAATAACTTTATAGAGGTTAAGATTGATGGTGTTGAAGAGCCTGCAGATGAACTGCAAATACTTGAAGCGTAAGTATTTAGCCGCTTTAGAGTGACTTTTTCAGTTCGGCATTCGTCTTTATTCACGTTTTTGTTCACATCAGGCGATATACAAGTATTTAAGTGGTATTTGTGAAGTTTTAATAACACCACTGAAATACTAGGACGCAGAGAGGCAATCAAAAGTTGGTGGAAAAATTCATAACCTTGATTGGCCTTTGTTCTAGCAAGGCCTATTCGATTGAAAAACATGTGGCATTCTCTCCAAAATACCTCCTTAAAACAAATAAAAAAAAACCCTGAAAACTGTGATGATTAAGTTTCTGGTATGAAAGCCCGTAAATAAGCGTTAGTTGTCTTAATAAAAATGATGCCCCCCCCCCCAAGAAAACACAGGGCTGCATGTTGTCATTTTCTTTACCACTACTGCGCACGCGTCTCGCTACTAGCTCATACATACTAATCAGTTCTGCTACAAGCGCGCTTTTGTAGCGCGTTAGATTAACGCACTCGCGTTAGCGCGTTTCTAACTAACGCGTTTGAAGCATGTTAACGTGGATGCTTATTTTTGAGCTGTACTGTATGCCTTCTTCAACTGTATGCTTTTTCTTTCATGTAGCGCGCCTGGTCCCCATCTCCCACTATGGGAGTTTCCACGTGGTAACTTGGCAGTCGAAAGAGTGATTGGCAATGGCGCATTTGGTGTTGTGTCTAAAGCATATGCCCGTTATCTCCCTGGCCACGAGGAATGGACCACTGTAGCAGTCAAAAGCTTGCAAGGTAACACATTTAATAATTTCCTCTTTGTAGCCCTATCAGCAAGGGTTTCTTTATATATAAGAAATACGACAAGACAGGAAAGTAAGATGAACCATTTCATGATAATGTTGTTTTTACCCACCAGAAGAAATTACCCTCTCCATGCAGTCTACAACAATAGCAATGTAATTTCTGATTGGAATTATGGAACTACATGTATCCCGGTGCCAGTGGTTTCAAGTACAACTTGAAATCGATAGCAGTGTATTCAATTCCGTAGAAACCTCAAAACAATTCCCTGACATCAAACGCATGCCAAAACCAGAGCCTAGCACTGGTCAATGTCTGGTATAAAAACCAGGGCATCCTGGTTCTTTTACCAGGCTTTTTAGGCTCAACACTGTGTGCAAAAAGTCTGGCATGCCTGTGGCTAGTCTGGTAACCCTGGTCTTGCCAATAATCAGGGTTACCTGAAGGATTTCCCAAGGCTCTAAAAATTCGTGGTTGACCAGGGTAACCCTGCTGGAAGCATCTGGTAGTACCCAGGCTTACCAGGCTCAACCCTGTGTGCAAAAAGCATGGTAAACCCTAGTTGTGTCAATAAACCAGGGTTACCATGGTCAGGGTAACCCTGATAGCCTGATAATTATTGTGTCATGAATGAATCCCAGGATTTAAATGTGGAAAGAGATTAGAAGCCATCAGAACACAAATGCAATGGCTTCCATGATTAACTCAACCTCATAAATGTATCTTAAATCATAGGTATATTTACAGGAATCAATTGTTTTAGGAACTTATATTATGCTGAAGTTACTGTATTACCTCATCTGTTTGTGTTACCCCACTTAACCTTTATCACTTCATCCTCTATTCGCTACATTCATACTGTCAATCATTCTGTAAATATAAAGATTTACCATGCTGATGCATATCTAGGAAAAAAGAGATTTTCATATTGTTGCACTTGGCCTGCTACTGGCTAACAACAATAACAACGACATTGACTTTATTTTTAACAATTAAAGTCCAGTTCAGATGCCCCTCCACTCACGTGCCGAACCTAACTGAATTAAGTTCGACTTTGGAGTGACAATGGGGCGACAGCTGATTCACACGGCATACCGTATGTCGAACCTAATATGTATTTTATATACAGAGAAGGCATTATACATTTATTCGTTGTCATAATTAATGCATTTGGTTCGGCACATGAGAAGAACGCCGTATGAATCAGTTGCCACTCCAGTGTCGAATAATGCGGCAGACCTTGTCGAACTTAACAATATTGCGCACTGAATTAAAACTGCTGTACCGAACTGATTCAGACACCACTCTTTTGGTGGACTTAATTCACCAATTAGGTTCGGCACATGAGTGGAGCGGCACCTGAACCAGGCCAAAATCAACAAAGGCCTTTGTAGCCTGCAGTTAGCATAGTTAACATAATAAACATAGTATGAATTGTTACAAAGTGGTGGCACAATGATGAAGTGATGGTTATTTCAACAATAGTGGACAAAACTATTCGAGAAAACAGGCCTCTTTGAGTCCAAAACTATTTCTCCAATCTCCATGAATTAACAATAATTATTTCAAAGAACAAGAACATGTACCAACCCCCCCCCTCCCCCCCCTGGTCCCATCCCCCAATCCCTGTTCACCGTAGGAAGGTGCCCATTTGCTAGGGGAAGGTTTAGGGGATGCAACAGCATTGAATTTAGGGTGGGGGGAGAAGGGAAGCTTTTAAAATCAGCTCATTATTTTTTGCATGTAAATGGGTTTCCAAACTCCATTTTTTAAACAATGTTTGATCCAACCTTACCTTTAAATTCAAAAATTAACCTGGTCCCATCCCCAAATCCATGTTCACTGTAGGAAGGTGCCAATTTGCTAGGGAAAGGTTTAGGAGATGCAACAGCATTGAATTTAGGGTGGGGGCAGAAGGGAAGCTTTTAAACTCAGCTCATTATTGTTTGCATGTACATGGGTTTCCAAACTCAATTTTCTAAACAATGTTGTAGCAACTCTGACCTTTAAATTCAAAAGTTACTTACCCAGGCCCAGAATACACCCAAGAGACATTTTTACAACACATTTTTACAAGGAGGCAGCACAACAGTGTGCACTAATGTTGAATGTCACCTGGCTGTAACCAATGTATCACAGTTTTACACAAAAATGAAGTCATTTGCCTTTTATTCTAAAGACAAAACAGCAAGCACTGGAGCTACATATATTTCAAAGTGCTGAGGACTTTGAAATTTGATCATACACTTAGCAAAAGCAACATTTCTTGTAATTGTTCTCCTCTGCTCAACAGAAAACCATTTGAAATGTCACTTTTCTGAACAAGACTAACAGCTATATCTAAATAGAGGCACAGCAAGTAGGATTAGGAAAGATTTCCGCACGTCCCCATACATTAATTAGTGAGTTTATGCAACAGGACGGCAGAAAGAAGAGGACGGCAAAACGCCTGTGCGTGACAAACGTGACAGGCCTGTTACGTATGTGTTTTGTGGTGATCTTCACTTAAGTTAATGTTTTCTGGTCTTTTACAAAAAGACCTTTTTAAAGGAGGGTGAAGTACGGCGGAAAAGTTGTTCAAACAAAGTTATTGTCACGCTCGTCACACAAAGTTTGCCGTCTTCTTTCCTCTCCCGTCCTGTTGCGTAAGTTCACTATTATACACTGTACATGCATCAATGGCATAGTAAACCTGTTTCAAAAACGAGTAGAGTTTGAGTAACAAAATGCATGTATAATATTATTAATGTATGGGGCTGTGCGGAAATTTTGCCCAAAAGCTCAAAGCTGGCTTATTTTCTGCGACCTGTCAGCGTTGCATTTGGGACATGTTCAACAGAAAATAGCACAACGCGCTACGTATGAGATGGAGGTAATGATGATTGCACACAAAATAGAGAAACACGAGATGCAAACGTTTTTCAGCTACAGTAGCAAAGTTCCAGTGTCGAAACGAGGTAAATGGGATCAGAGATCACAACCCCGGGATCTGGGATAACGAGTGATGGGATCAGGATCAGCAAATTTTAGTGGGATCAGGGATCAGACATTCTCAAGTATTTGGGATCAAGGATCAGAATTTTGGGTCAAAAAATGGGATCTTACTTCGTTACGACCCTGACAGTTCAAGACTTACCACTAAACGGTCACGGAGCCATTCGTCACATGATGTTCACATATGTTTGAGGTTTGGGCTTTTTTAGCTACTGTATAACTAATACGTCCCAAGAAAACGCGTGTGAATAAACAAGTACCTCCTCCAAATTCAAAAATGGCCGCCTGTGAGGCAGCTGTGTAACCGCGCTGATTTCGAGTCATGTGATTTTCTACCCCAGCTGACCACAGGAAACGTAGGCGCCAATACCGGAGTCCGTCCTGGATAGAGGGTGTCAATGGGGTTAACCGATAGGCGTAAAACGGCCAAAAATTGGGTCGATAGCCGTAAAAATTGAAAAATTTTAACCGTTAGCCGTAAATAGGGTAAAACAGAATTAAGCGTAAAAGAAAGTGTTCCGTAGATTTGCTACTTTTAAGGGAGGTACTAAACTCACTTATGCTTGCGATTTTTATTTCCCGGCTAGTGTGACTCCGTTCGCACGTTAGGCGAAGCGCCTTTTAGGTGTCGTCCAAAACCTAGGCTCCATTTCCGCCACTCTCTCGGGGAACTAATTTTTTCCATAGCGAAAGTGTGGCTTCTTGTTAGGGATTAATATTTGCAATTTTTCAGGAGGTCGTGCCCTCGAAACACTAGTGAAACAACACGCAGAGATGTCAATGTTTGTTAAACACGTTGCCGATAAACAACATTTCCCTGTTTTTCTCTGACGCTACCGTAGACATTGCCAGGCCTAGTCCCTGTACGGCGTCTTTCCACGCAATCTCGGTCAAGGCATTTCCGTCGCGAACTCGCTAGGACCACGTGACCCGAAACGCATTAGCCGCGCGGAATAATGAGGCCTACGGACAAGGCAACGGCAGACAGTCGTTCCGTATAGTCCTTCGCTATCATTAAAAACACTGGACACGGGAATTTGGTTATTGGCCGTTTTCACGCTAGAGCTATAGTAATGGATTACCTGTCTGAGACTAGTCTGTGTACAGTCGCGCCCTCCCCACAGACAGCCCTTCTCTGATTTTTCTGAGCGGAGGGTGCGCCTGTACACAGGCTATCTGGAACGGATAATCCCGTCTTCAAACTGTCCGTCAAAATTGACGGATAAAGTCAGGCGGATTGTTCATTCAAAATTACAACTATTCCATTTTCAAATTAAGAAGTATTACCTATCTGACGTGAATCATCAAACGGATAAGTCGTCTCACACAAATAATCCGGTCTAGTGAAAACGGCCATTTCTGTTATAATGAATGTCGCGCCCCGGCCTTGAGTTGGGCGTTTGCGTCTCCGCTTTTGCTTTTTCACAAAGATTGTTTTTAAAATGACTATTGACATTTCTATGTGTAACATAATATTAGAAGTGAAATACTTTATAAAAAGTATGATCTATCAAGTAATAAAATTTTTCAAAAGAATAACTTGTTTCATCCCGAGATGATCCGAAGACCTTTATTTTGATTTAAAAATACAAAAAATACAGGTTAATTAATATTTAACTTTTTGAAACAAAAGAAGTTAATGTTTAACTTTTTTGTTAACCGTAACTGATTAAAATTAACCGATACCCGTAAAAGAGCCAAAATTTTAGCCGATAACCGTAAAAGCCACCACCCCATTGAGACCCTCTGGATACGGATAAGATACGGATAGTTTTGCTGAAGGTCCTGAAGAAACAGTTTTGTATTAGGAACTTCTATGTTCCTTTCGAACAAAAATCGTGAACGAAAGCCACCTTTTTCACTATAACTTACCCAAAGAAAATTACAAAAACAGATACCGAAAACTATGAAAACGAAGAAATGCAAATGGTTCAGGCCGGCCAAAATTATGCCAAGCTAGGCGGCCAGTATACAAAGGAAGTGCGTTTTCCTTATGGTAAAGTCTCAGATTTCGTGTTGATTTTTTTTAGGAACTTTTTATTTTCTTTTTCAAAAAAAAAGCGGGACAAAACCCCCCTTTTTCCCAAAAACAAACCCAAAAAAAAAAAAAAAAAAAAAAACCAAAAAAAATGAAAACGAAAAAAGGAAAAAGGTTAAGGCGGGCCAAAATTTTGCCAAGGAAGGGGGCCGGGATAAAAAGGAAGGGCGTTTTCCTTTTGGGAAAGGCCCAGAGTTCGTTTTGCCCCCCCCCCCCCCCCACCCACCCCTAGCGATGAAGTGTACATGTGTTACTAGACAACGGGTATTTCCTCAAAAGTCCCGGCTAAACAATCAAACATTTCGTCCAACATCGTGCTGAACGAACATGTTTGACCGTTTAGCCGCGTCTCTTAACATTGCGTTTGAATCGCTTCCTATGATTGATGTAGGTCAAACACTTCCATCCAACTTTGATTCCAAGCAAATATTTCACCGTTTACCCACCTCTTCAAACAAAGCAAGCCCGAGCAGGAAAAAAGCAACCAATCAGAAACCGAACATTTGGTTTTATCAAAGGAGTTGATAAATGTAAATTGACCACCGACGAAGCTCGAAACGTCAACTTTCAGAATCCCTGTACGGTGGCCAATTCACATTTATCAACTCCTTTAATTGAACCAAATTTTTATGTACAACTCCCTCACCGACGCGGCTCGACAGTTTCTTTAGAAACTATCCCGTTTAGAAACCGAATCTGCCGACATCCACGTCATAATTTCAGTGCTGATACACAGGAAGTGTTACGTGGACTGACTTTGCTCGTTGTTTGAGTACACACCACAAACGGTGTTGGATGAAAAGGTTTCATCGTATAGCCGGGGCTTTGAGGATAGTAAAGCGAGTGAAACCAGCTAGCGTGTGCGATGATTGCCGCGCGCAAGGAGACGCTGTTTCACTCGTTAACCCTTTAACTCTGAAATCTGATTATTAATTCTCCTTTCTAGATGCTATTCAGTTCCTCGTACATTAGTTAAGAGAATTTGGGGTTTTATCAAGATGACACCCTCTGGCTTATAAGTTTAATTGTCTATTCTCATCTCCTGTCTGCTGGACAATGCATTTCGATATTATAAGGACAAGTTACATTGTAATCACTTCTGGGAGTTAAAAGATTAATTCCTACCAAGAAGAAAAAGAACGGACTGTTCGCAGTTCGGGGTATTAAAGACGTTCGCGTGAAAATTTTCCAACACTGATTCTTTTCTGAGACGTTTACCACTGTAAGATGATGAGTTCGTTATGTCAGAAATGTAAAAAAATGGGGGGTCACCGACTTCGTTTTGGAGATAACACTGCCCAGAGGAACATTAAATCTGAAAAAATCGGGCCTCATTAGCGAATAAGGCCACAGTGTCTGTAAGACCAAAAATATTGCAATTAAGTCTTTGAAGTGAGATGTTCTCTGCCAAATATTGTTTAAGTGGACCTGTTAAGTGAATTTAGTCAACTGGTGAGGTTCCTTAAAGAACAAGTTCGCATTTAGCGACCACATTTTCACGCGCCTTGCAGCCGCAAGAAGGCAGGATTCGATGTCCCGTGGACATTTTTTTTAACTTCCCACATTGATTTTTTGTTCATTTTTGGACAATGTGGAGATAATTGTAAAATAAAATCTGTTTCTGGAAAGAAAAGTAGAGGTCACCGACCATTTAAGAGAGTAAACTGATGGCGAAGGGAACGCAACAGCTACCATCCTTTTACCTGCTTAGCTTTCTTCCCCAGCGCGCACACGTGGCAGCACCTTACGACATGGATTTCGGGCGCAGTAGGGATGCGCGTGAACAATTAGGGTGAACGTCCTTAACGAATTTCGAATTCCTACTTCTTTTAACAGATGGTTCAGCTGAAAGCGAGAGGAGAGATTTGCTCTCTGAACTGAACCTTTTAAAGAAACTAAAGCCTCATCCACACATAATAAGGCTTCTGGGCTGCGTGACAACAGACCAAGGTAAGATACGTTTTCATTGTAGATTATATAATATAAAGCTGCATTATGCATGCATTGTGATTGGCTCTTACTTATGATCTACTAGGGGACAGACGCTCAGATGACGTCATCATTAAAAAAAATTCCCTCCATTTCTTTTAAATGGCAGAACCTTTTGAAAATTTAGAGGACATTTGACCAAATTGGGCGAATGAAGACATAGAACAGTGGCACACTCGGCTATCGCCTTATGTTCCAATGTTTTGTTCTTACCACATTTCGACATCATCTGTAATCAGTTACTGAACAGACGCACGGCAACAGGGAATCTATTTGTTAAATCGATATCTTGGGCTATATATCCTGCGATTTTGGTGGGTATATCCGGTATATTTGGAACAGGGCGTTAAAAGATTTGGAGTCACAATTTAGAACGTAAGAATGGAAGCGGAAATTGATTTCAATACCTAATTAGATAGTTAAAGATGAGGAACGTTTGACACAAAAGCATTCTGAGGTTAGAGGCTTCACATAATTAAGGTGATTCCTCACATTTGCATGGCGCATCCTTACCGCGCATAATTTATGGCGCATTAGCACGCGTTCGTGCACGTGCACATTGAAAACATGGCGGATTTGCCTTGATATTGAGCTCTGTCAGTGGAAAAATGGCTACAACTCACTAAGGAGCACGGGCACCCCATATTTTTTTCCTGTCATTTTAATCAACTAATCATAAGCTTTGCGTGAGAAAAGACTGATCTGATTTCTGTTGTTGAAAATTGAATAAATAAGGAAAATAACGGCTACTCTATGGTCTTCTCTATTTTGCAGTGTGATAACCATGGGAAGCAATTTGGTTCAAATTTTTAATCAAGGATTCAGCTTTCACTCTAAGTCCAGCTTAAAAAGTTTATTTGTGTCCGACACAATGTATTGGCTGTAGTTTTAAGGCGTGGTTTCATGAGTTTGGGCTCACAAAGATTTTACAATAACTTGGAATGCGTTCTTATAATGAGCATTAAATAATGCCAAAATGGGGCATTTTCAACGCCCCACTGCTCTTTAATGAGCATGGTCACCCCCATTTATTATTTCAAAATTGAAGTTCTCATATGATAAATTTTCGGTGGATGAAGTTTGAACAAAAATCTATTGCCAGTTTTATTTCAGAGGAATTACCTTAAATGATCTGCTTGTTGTTTAGAGAGACCCCTTGTGATCATCGAGTACGTGCCGTATGGTGATCTGCTCGGATACCTAAGAAGGAGCCGAGGAGTGAGCGACTGTTACTATGACAATCCTGATATCAAACCTATGACAAGCCTGACATCGGAGGAGATGTTAAAATTTGCTTGGCAAATATCGGATGGTATGCGGTACATCTCCTTTAAGAAGGTAACGGTTGCCTTCCAATATAGATTATTGTAAGTTTTAGCTTCCTTATTTTGTCCCTCAGTATACATCTTATTCCAAAATGGTTCCCATTCTATTCTCTTTTTTAAATTTAAATTAGCCCTTGCTGCCTCGTTCGAGATAAAATATTCTTTTGAATTTTGCTCTTAAGAACCAGGCAACAAGGGCTAATTTGAATAAAAAACAAAAGAATGTTAGAATGGGAGCCATTTTGGAATAAGGTGTATTGAATTTGTTTGTTGTGATTGTTGTTGTTGCTCCTGTTGTTGTTTGGTGTTGTGAATCGAGGAAGGGCGTGGCCAGCTAGACCTGTTAAAGGGCCAATAATGACGCTCTCATTAACTGCATTAAGCCTCAAGGACTTCTTATCATGAAAGTAGTACGGATAGTGTGTCTGGTTGTTTACTATTTACCCAAAAAATCCGGAGATTTCGGATGGAATTTAAATGGGAAGCCTATTTTTTTCTTCCCGAACGGAAATTTCCACAGGAAAACGGGATTTCTTGAAAGGTAGTCCAAAATTTCTAACCGGAATTTCCGAACGGAAAATGTGTGTACCATTTGCGATTTTCACTAGTTCCAAGCCCTACTCCAATTTTGATGCGTGTCACGTGTTATTTAGTAGGGGTTGTGCAAATGCTACACGCCAATCCTGAACGGAATTTTTCATTGGGGATTTTTGCTTACCATTTGTACAAACCGTCGGCCAACCGGTTTTCCCGTGTAAATGGTAAACAACCTCTGAGTTCCGCAAAACGGGATGATGACGATACATCAATTCACATCGGGATTACTTTGTTTGTACTTAACCACCATCTCGGTTCATTCTAATTCCTTTTTATTATTATTATTATTATTATTATTATTATTATTATTATTATGTTTCCAAAGCCACAAAAATTGCCTTAATGGACTTGCAATTTATCAAGATATTTAGAGAAAAACGAAAAATTAAAATCAAACAAAGCAATTCTCCTTAGTTCACAAGTGACATATGGACACACCCAGGAGATGACTTATGGCAGACGCGTGAATATCATGCCTTTACTTTAAGTATGGCACATTCTCGACATTCTTGTCTTCTTATAACTTTATTTCAACTCGGTGGTAGAATATAGCACACGAGATGCTAGTTGGACCGAGAGACTAAGTAAATAAGAAAATAAATACAATAATATGGATAATAAAGCAAATGAAAATACAATACGAATTAAAATACATGATTCTTGATAACATTTCTAAAAGTCTTTAAATTACACGAGGCTCTTATTTCATCAGTAAGAGAATTCCATAACTTGGGACCAAGCGATCTAATAGAGTTAAGATCATACGTAGTCGTACATGTCATTAGTCTGATTAGCGTTAGTTCTCGGGGCTTGAGCCGGAAGAAATCCTCATCTGTTCCTGCTTAATTGCTTAGAACGCCTTAAATAGCGGGCTAAAGTAAAACTGAAAGGCTTAGCTTCAAATATAATAATGCTGTATTATTCTCTGATTTACAGATTGTTCACAGAGACCTGGCGGCAAGGAATGTTCTGGTTGGTGAAAATTTTACTTGTAAGATTACTGACTTTGGCATGGCTCGCGATGTCAACTTGGAGGAAATTTATGTCCCTCGAAATGAGGTACTAAGTCATAACAAATTGTGAAAAAAGCATCTTTTTTGTGAAGGTAATTTTTTCAAGATTATAAAAAATGATCGTGGTTATTTTTAATCTTTAGTTTAGTGATGTACAGGTTGCTCTTAGATACAGATTTTACATAACGGAAAATAAAATAACATGATATTTATCTATACGATGGCGGCAACATCAGTTCGCGGGGGATTAGTTCCGACAGTGCCATCGTACGATGCGGCAGAAATTCAGCAATTTCGCTGTTGGTGTTTTTGTCCAACCCTGTATAGCCAAACTTTCACTAAATCCTCCCTCCTTCTATACCGACCTCGAGCCTTCGGCGGCATCGCTCCACCGAAAAGTTCCAGTGGCGACCAAAATTGGTTTCCATCACACTACAAATCGAAGATTCTCGTAAAATATACGGTACGTATATTTTTTACCAATACAGGAGACCAAAACTGAAAGTAAATCGCGCGATGGAGGCGGATTGCTTAAAACCTTTCTTGCCGTTACAGCGTCTGAAGAGTTTCGTGGTCCACGATCGGTTGTTTTCCCGCGGTGCATGATGGAAAGTGACAATGGGTCTTAAATAAACGGTCGGCACAGGACGACAACGACACTGAACACACTCTGGAATTTCGGACCATCAACATATCTTTCGGGTAGTGTACAGGGTATCTTTATGCAGTTGCGACTTCGCGTTCCTTTGACAATTTTGTACAGTTTCACAAAGTGTTGGAATAATGTACTTCCTCCGTACCGCGTTTGCAAGTTCCACGTGAGCTTACCTTTCTTTCGACACCACGCAAACAATTAAATGTGAAGACCTTTTGGGCTAAAATATATTCTGAAAACTATTTTCGACATCAAGAGTTTTCCCTCCATACCAGAGATAAACGATTCGTATTCCCTAAATACGTGCAAGTAAATTTATAACTTACGAGTTCGCTCGCTCCTCCAAAAGTGCATCTGTTTTTGTTGTTGTCATTTTTTTAAATGTAAACAAGTCTCTTTATTACTCAAATTTTCAATCTAATTCGCCTGTTGGAAAAAATAATGAAAGCAAAAATCCAAAGCACTCCAAAACAAGGAAAATAAGAGTAGAATTATACCTCAAAATTTGGCGTGTTCGCTTTATGTTGTTTGGTGCCAGGATTAGGGGTGGGGAGGGGGCGGTACAGTAGTAAAAATGCTCTTTCGCCAGTCATACATCCACAGCAGAAACCCTGCGATATAAGTAATTTTATGCGTCGGGGAAAAAAAATGCGGCTTTTTACTCTACAACTCAGTAAATAATCTGCTTTGCTTGCCGGTTGAATAACAAAATTGATTGTGGTCAAGATCTATAGGTAACTATGTAAGAAATGAACCGTGTATGTTAGTGACTTTCTGTATTTATATAGGTGTATAATATATTATCACGGTGTGTATGTAATTAAGCAATCAGGGCCGAGTTGCTCGAAGCATGGTTAGCGCTAACCGAGGTTAAATACCATGACAACCTTTAGGTTTTAATCCAACTTAACCAATGGTTAGCCCTAACCATGCTTTGAGCAACTTGGCCCAGGCAAACAAACATTAAAAAAAGATAAATATATATATATATATAACAATTATTCACCGAAGTGGAGGTGGCTAGTCCTGGATATTTACCGAACTGCGAAGCAGTGAGGTAAATATCCAGGACTAGCCACCGACACTGAGGTGAATAATTGTTTTCGTATATACTAAAACAGTGAGATAATTGAGCACAAAAATGACCATTTTTAACTCAAATACTGTTGCCAACGATTACAATTTTGGCGCGTAATGACCGGGCGGCCGCGGCCGTCGCTTTTTCTTGCCGACAATTAAACCTTTTGAAGGCATTTGTTTAGCTCTTGCGGGGAAATTTCTTCAAAAGGAGTTGTGAATTCTTTTTGAATTTAAAATCATTCTATAAAAAAAGATTATTAAATTTAGTTTTAAGCTTATTTATGAACAACTCAACTAAATAAAGTAAGCAAGACTTAAACTTAATTTGCATTTGTAAACAAAAAACTTTTTCACCGGTTTTATCGATAAATTCGTGTCAAAAAGACAAAGCTTTACCTGTTAAAACTTCCAATCCGAACTTCGTCACCTTCTTCGTGTATTTCGGAAACAGCTTGCTTGATTAGTTGTGAAATTTCTTTGTTTGTTTACGGCAGCAAACCGAGAAGGCATTTTGCTCGCAACTTGCGCGAGTTTGGCGTCGCTCGCTCGGAGGAACTGGAGGTGAATCAGTGAATAGTGCAGGATATTCACTGATTGAGTAGCCAATCAGAGCGCGCGAAAAACACTATCTACTGTTTTAGTATATACTAAATCAGATTATTACATGGTTACCATAAGTACGAGTGATTTGATTGGCTGCTAAACGAGCAGGATTTCTTGTAACGGACGCGGGCATTACAAAAAAATTATCTTCACCCGGCGATTCTCGTAAATACAAACGATAACACTCTTATCGAGACTTTTTCTCTCAACATTAGCAGCATTTAAGCGAGACAAAAAATATTTAGGTACATTCAGATAATGAGTTGTGTGATCCCGGTGCCGGAGGAAGAACAAGCCAAAATGTAATTTCCGGTGCAATACAGTTCTTTGTTTTTTTTTTTTTTTTTCATTTTTGTTGCAATAAAAAAGCCATATAATAAACAACTTTTTAACCTCGTCCGTTCGATCATTACAGGGAAATCTCACACGCTCGGACAATACATCAAACCCTCAGTCTGAGATCTCCCTATAATAACTTCACTCTCTGGTAATAGGTAGCATATATCGCATGATTTAAGCCAACTTTTGAGCAAAGTAATCAGGGGATATCACAGATGATTTCGCAACCCTTGCCTTTCTTTCATGACAAACTCTTGCCAAAATCTTTTATAGGGTAGAATCCCAGTCAAGTGGACAGCAATTGAAGCGATGACAGGTGCAATGAAATACACAAGCCAAAGCGACGTGTATGTTAAATTTAACGATTTCCTTATTAGCGTATCATAAAATGTCTGCACTTTAATATTCATTTGTCAATCCAAAACTAAAAATCAATGACCACCTCCCAGTTACCCTGAAAACTCAATCTGAAGGGGATATGACCTGTTTACAGGCACTGGCCATGGGCTCTCAAGTCGTTCAAGTCTGAATTAAAACAAACTTAAGCCGGCCTTGGACCCCGGCTTGATCTTTTTGAATCTCCTCTTATTTTGTTTTTGTTGTTGTTTCTTTGTTTGTTTGTTCGTTTGTTTTCTTTGAATTTGCTTTTTATCTCATTGTCTTGTCCGTGCCCACACAAACAGCGGCTGCAACTTTTAGATTATCTGTTCTTCCCTGGAGTATAAATGGATTTTCCTTACTTCATGTGCTTCAAAATATGTATCTTTTCGTTATTTTCAGATGGAGCTTTGGCGTGGTTCTATTTGAGATTTGCACAATCGGTGGGTGCAAAAGTAATTGTTTACAGTGCATTTTATCTTTGTTTAAACTTTTCTTTCTTTCTGTTTTATTATTATTATTATTATTACTATTATTATTATTATTATTATTATTATTTCTTTTTGCTTACTGTGAAATTCCGAAAACCGTGAACACTAGAAATACTCATTAAATGTTATTGTGTTTCAAGTAAAACGCCAATCACGCGCGAGAATAATAAACCGGAAGCAGTAAAGAAAATTAGTTTGTGGTTCCATCTCACTTCTGATTGGTTGCTGCACAATGGGAATTGTCAAAATCGAATCAAAGTGTTCTCGGTTTTTGGATTCGCACAGTAACTCTGTACTTTCATAATTATGTTGCACTTTCTATCCGTCAAAATTATTTGCACCTTCCATCGTTAACGTCCACATTTTGTACAACTAAGACGGATTGAATTATATACTGGCAATCTTTGAAACTTAAGTGACTTATCGTACCTTTCAGGAGCTGAGCCTTACCCTGGGATAAGTCCATTCAAATTACCAAGCGTTTTGCTGAAAGGATACAGAATACCGAAACCAGAATATGTCAAGGATGAGTTGTAAGGGACCGGTCATTATTTGAAGGGGGGCGGTACCTAAGTTAATAAAGATATGTATTGAGCTTTACAAACTTTTAGTTTTCATAGTCCTTGGAAGGAACTAGACATTCAAAACAAAAAGTAGATGCCTCAACCTGTCAAGCCTTTGAAGCGAAACGGTTTATTTTTCTGCTGCGTTTCTGGTATATATTTTCGTTAAATAACTTTTTTATCTGAACAATATTTTTGGTTCGGCATTTGTTTTAAAGCACAAACTGCTTATCGAGAGAGCTTACGTCATAGACATTGAGTAAACCGTCGGTTTTGAACTTCAATTATCGGAGGCCGCGGAGCAATGGGCCGCTCCAGTCTCTCCAACTGAGTGGAGGGGGAAAGACTCTAAAAATGGTTAAAACGCATCTATCTGTAAGACTTACTCAATCAGGCTTGGATGATTTCCGGCGATGTCCGCCAGGTCTAATCAGCCACTGTTACCACGTGAAAGTCCTTTTCATTTTAGGAAATGTATTTACTAAATTTATTTTTTGTATCACCAAAAGTGAGGGCTCTGCCCTCCCCCAGCCCCTTCCCTGCACGTTCTCTGATTAAACTTCACCCTCTTGCCATATATAAATGTCTTCAAACTTCTGAGGTGGTTCGCAATCGACAGTAAATAGCGGAGACAATAGACCTGTTAAAAGTTATCACGCCACAGTAATTATTTCTCATCTGCCCCCTGGGTATCCCATAATTTCCTCGGAATTCAAGATGGCCGCATATCGGTAAAAAGGTCTATTGCTTTAGTTAAATGAAGATTGACAGTGGGTCTTCATATCCTGATTAAAAAAATGTTTGGACTTTTTATACAGGTATGATATAATGAGGGAATGCTGGGAGACGGAACCTGACAACAGGCCTTCATTTGATAAACTGTGCCAGAAAATCAGGCTGCTGGGGGCCCGGGCTAACCAGGTAAAAAATATATCCATTTACGTAGTATATACTGGAGACACCTCAGCTTCTCACTGAAACAGTCACAAAGGATTCTTGGTTGCTTTAAATCTGGCAACATCATAACGTTTTACTAGCTGGATTAAGGCATCAGAACAGAGGATCTGCTTGGGTTCGAGCTCCTTTTAAGCTCATGTGTGTAAAGGTGAAGACGATGAGGCTAAGCCACTGCTTAACGTTCTTTCCAGGAAGGGAAGTTAACTCTTACGTCGTTCTTTTTCCTTATTGCGCCTGGAGGTCATTATGCAATGCAATCCTCGCAATCAAGAATTGGAAGCATTTGCTTTAGCATTTCCCATTAGAACCAGTTGATAATTTATAAACGAATGCTTATTCTTTTTTTCAGAACTACGTTAACATAAAGGACTGCCTGGAAGCTTATGAGCAAAACGAGATCGCGTCCTGAGAATCCTATTTGTGGCAATCAGTTTGTGCAAATCAATCAATGTGTGCTAACCAATGACTGCATTGATTGGTTCTCTGACGAGACTGTAGGCGTGTAGCGCAAAAAAACCTAACTTTTAACGACGTCAGTAATACATTAGCACATTGTTTCGAAAAGAAATCCAGAATTTGTGTAACGGGATTTACAGAATTCTAACGTCCCTTGATTGGCTGTCAGGATTCTTATGCAGACACTGAAGGGCATCTTTACAGAAAGCCAATGTTCTCGGCGACCTCATTAAAATTTGTTAGTATCCAGGTTTGAGGTCATTTAGTAAGCTGACCTGTCTGGAGAGCATTGGTCCTTTATCGCGAATAGGAGCGTCGGCAGGAAGACAGATGTACACTTCATAAGTATGCAGCCTGAAGAGCGGGGATAGGAATAAAAACCAACTGATTCTCCCAACAACGCCTAATATTAACTAAGAATTAGCCTATAATTAGGCCACAGGACATAAACTTCAAGGACGCAATGAAATTACCCGAGTTAGATACATCTTGGCTCAAACATCAGAAAGCATCCATGACTGTTTTCTCGAAAGGCTGGTAACACGCTAGTTTAACGCAGGATCCGTTTAATTGAAAATGAACAGCTATTCGAAAGGTAAGCGATTTAAATTATCAGTTATCAGTCAAGGCTTCATTCAACGACAAAAAGGAAAACAATAGCAAAAAAATCATTGACTTTGAAGTGAGAAGAGTCAGACAAATCCTGTGGGCTCAAACGGCCATCTCCGCTTTCGCCTGAGGTCCAGTAACTTATCGGAGACAGTCCGTCTATGTGTATTTTAATGAAAAACATTTATTTATGGTTTGGTGCCAGTTGCCCATACAGAATTTTCTATAAGTAGTGATTTTAAATTGTAGAAAATAAATGTACAATCGTGATCAAATTGCTTGTGACACATTAGAAAACTTTCCGCTAAACTATCAGATCTGTTCACTGCCTCAACCAACGCAATTTTGATTCGCTCAAACGCTTGACATTTCCAATTGTTTCAATCGATATTGACGTTGTTGTAGAGGAGGTGGGAGAGAAAGGGGGAGGGGGAGGGGGAGGGGAGGGGGGGGGGGGGGGTGACGGTGGGGAATTGAGGAAATAGTTTTTTTTGTTTGGTATTGGTATATCGACCACGGTGGTTTAACTCACGTGAAACTCTGCCGTTAGCCTCTCCGATCTGCTTCAACAAAAAAATAGGGGTTTGTGTTTTGTGTATGGGGGTGGATTTTTAGGGGGGGGGAAGGAGGGGGGGGGGGGGGGGGGGGGGGGGGGGGGGGGGAGGGGGGGGGGGGGGGGGGGGGGGAGGGGGGGGGGAGGGGGTACAAGTATGGAAATGAAGAAATAGTTTATTTTGTTTTGTATGACAAAAGTGTTCCAAGACATTTTGGCCATAATTGTAGATTAAATCCTTAGTGTGTGAAAAATATTATCAGGAGAATTTGAGAAAGAAAATTGCTTAAGACCTGTACCTTATCTTATCTGAGAGGTATTAAAAACTTGTTTTAGTACAAATCTTTTGTTATTCACTCGCTGACAATATGAAACGAGCGTAGATGGCTTTGAGAAATCTCAATAGAACAAAAGAGAGCATAAATCACCCTCTCCTCCCAGACTCACACTCTCCCTCTTGGACAAAGCTGTTACTGTGTTTGCTGTTGTGTCAGGGGTATTACGCTGGCATCACACGCACAGCCCTTATCTGCTCAAGACAATCTACTCCATAAAACACTCCCTTTCATACATTAGTTACTGCCAAGTTCATTCAAAAGTAGTGTTGGCTTTCTCTGCACCACCAGCGTTCGGAATTGTAAGATCCCTGATTTCTT